TCTCTCTCTCTCTCTCTCTCTCTCTCTCTCTCTCTCTCTCTCTCTCTCTCTCTCTCTCTCTCTCTCTCTCTCTCTCTCTCTCTCTCTCTCTCTCTCTCTCTCTCTCTCTCTCTCTCTCTCTCTCTCTCTCTCTCTCTCTCTCTCTCTCTCTCTCTCTCTCTCTCTCTCTCTCTCTCTCTCTCTCTCTCTCTCTCTCTCTCTCTCTCTCTCTCTCTCTCTCTCTCTCTCTCTCTCTCTCTCTCTCTCTCTCTCTCTCTCTCTCTCTCTCTCTCTCTCTCTCTCTCTCTCTCTCTCTCTCTCTCTCTCTCTCTCTCTCTCTCTCTCTCTCTCTCTCTCTCTCTCTCTCTCTCTCTCTCTCTCTCTCTCTCTCTCTCTCTCTCTCTCTCTCTCTCTCTCTCTCTCTCTCTCTCTCTCTCTCTCTCTCTCTCTCTCTCTCTCTCTCTCTCTCTCTCTCTCTCTCTCTCTCTCTCTCTCTCTCTCTCTCTCTCTCTCTCTCTCTCTCTCTCTCTCTCTCTCTCTCTCTCTCTCTCTCTCTCTCTCTCTCTCTCTCTCTCTCTCTCTCTCTCTCTCTCTCTTGCTCTTTATATCATTTTAAATCTACGTATCAATTCTTATATAATTATGAGATCCATTAAACTTTCTTCAATATTGAAATTTTAAATTAATTAAGCGGAATTTTCGGAATGATTCTCGCTTACCGAGTATGTTTGTATCGGGACATCGGCATATCACGAGATAATGAGACTTTCCCGTACGCACGTTCTGCAGCGCCAGTAGAGACCAGTCTCTCGACGCTCTGCATTCTCGCATCTCGGCAACCGGCTCGCACGTTTTTACTAAGGTCAAGGCCTGAAAAGAGTACGAAGGCAATGAGCGTCATTGTTTTACGAGTCTTTCTTAATCAGATATATACTGTGTTTGTGTTACATATATATAATTCCATTGGAAAAAAAAATATGCATTACGTAGCGTTATAATGAACAATTTAAGGAGATGAAAATCAAAAATATTATCGCGAATGCGATCAACGTGTTTGGAGATAATCATTAATTATCGATTATTTCTCGTAAAAATATTGCTAAGATCTTTTTTTATCACAAAATTAAGATATATGCTAAATTTTATGGTATGTTATAGTAATAAAATTACAGTGATATTGAAATTGGATAAAAGTCATCTACGTGAAAGCAAGCTCGAAAGCACGGGACTATCGTATCGAATATTTAAACTCGTTTCTCGGATTTCTGCGATGACTGTCTTTTCGAGCGATGATTCTTCGGTGTGCAAGTCACGGTTAATACACGAACGAAAGTGAACGAGTTTTTTCTCGCGCCGGGAAACTCGTGTTTAAGATTATCCGAGCCGAGTCGGTCATACCGGGAATGGCGTCTTGTACAGGTACCGTTTCCGTGACAACTCGATGTCTTAAGTACTACAAAAATACATAAAACATTACATAGGAAACACGGCAACTTTTATAATTCTGACGGAAACCCTCGCGTTTTCCTCGATTGTATACACGTTTTTACTTGTAAAGCATATAATTTTAGAATAATTTGCTAATATCGCCTCGATTCGAATTATAATTCGAGTGATTTAAAATACAGAGAAACTAATAATATTAAAATCAAGTAAAATCCGAATAAAATGGCAAAAGAGCCACGCGCAGTTTTTAGGGCGCAAAGATATATAATTAAAACCAAAAAATAAATTAAAAAATTAGAGAATTTCTTTAATTACATGATTAGCGAAAGGCGGACGTTTCGGCCCTTTTTTGGCCATCATCAGCGCAAATAATACTAAATTCAACAATATAAACGGTATACAGAAAGAGTCTTAATCAATTAAAGCGCATAATAATATTAATAATATTAAAATTCAAATAAAATAATATTAAAATTATTAATAATTGATTAAATAATATTACAATTATTAGCAATAATTTTATAAAATCATGCTTTTATCAATACGCGCAAGTGATATCGCGTTCTCGAGTCTCTATCCCTCGTAGTAAAAAATCGACGATATTATAGAACAGCTGAGAGAGACGACGTCTTTTTTCGATTTTCTCGATCGCCAAAGAGAGTCGGAAAGTTTTCACTAACCTTGGTTCGCGGATCGGTCACCAGCTCGGTCGTGTGCAGGTCGTCGCTGTCCAAGGACGCGCTGCACGGATCACGGTATCGTCCGGGACAGGCGCACAGCGGTTGAGTAAAGTTTAATCTGACATAAACGGCGTTGCACACTTGCTGGACCGCGCACTCCGGCAGCAGGTAGATATGCTGATTGTGCGGATAGTAGTGATACTTGGTCGGTTTTGCAAGCGCCGCGCTGGCCCCCTCTGGCAGTCGTACCCCTGTCTTCAAAAAAGATTGCGTACTTTGGCAGCGTCATGTAATCACGTCGTAATAACATATCGCGCGATTAAGAGATGTCCGGATCCGATTTTTCGGAGCTACAGCTGATTACAGGGCTTCTTCTCTCTAAAAGGTATCGCATTCTTTCGTCGATTGACACGACCGTTATCTTCGTGTTCCTTTAACTCTTTCGTTTATATGTTTGAATTACGAATGAATGCGATTTCGAGATATTTTCTAAAAATAATTTCCTTTTATAATAACAGATTCTCTTGCCAATTTGAAGATTTTTTTTTCTTACAATTAGGGAAAAGGCATAACTTTCGAGTTATAAACGATTGAGAAAAAGGACTTTTCACAAACTTTATTCAAAAGATTAAAACTACATTCTTTAATTTCAAGGATAATTTATTTTAATAAAATTTTAATGTTCGAGGCTTAGATACAAAATATATGACAGAATTGAAAACTTGCAAATAATGACCTTTTTCGATATTTTTGCAAGGGAAAAATCGATTTTAAATTGGTCAGAGAATTTGCTATTAAAAGGTATCTCCCGTGAATTTGAGGCTATTTAAGAAAGACTTACAATTAGTCTGATTATAAAAATGCTCTTATTTCAATTGTGCTATATTTCATTCGAATCAAATCAGTACATCGTTACCGTAGCATGATTCCGCGGTAAACGAGATTGTATGTTGTATACAGTGCCTCATTAGCAATGTTTCTGTATTACATAGGCGATTATGCGGCATCTTTTCACTTTTGCGATTCACACTTTCCCTTTACTGTTTCACGAACAATTGATATGACATATGTAGATTAAAAAGAACGAAACTTAACTTCTATTCCGATATCGATCCAATTTCGTGAAATGTCAAGATTATTAAAAAAACACGCGTATTGTCAAAGAATTAAGCGTCAATATTCGATATATCATAAAAATATCTCACTTGTCAAAAAATAAACACATTGTCAATCGCGAAATGAATAGCTTGTAAAATGGCAAATCAGTTTCTCGTGAAATATAAATGTTCGATATCTATTTCGGAAGAACACTGTCTATACGTATCGATCGCGTGATGGAAATTGTTAGTAGAGAAAGCAAGCTACGGAGAGGAATAAGATGAGGCAAAAAATAAAACGGACGGAATTCTCGGAGTGAGAGAAAAGAGAGGCCGTAAAGCCGGGCAGACAGGCAGAGGCAAAACGCTTGACAAATCGATGGGGGTACACCGGTACAGAGGATGGTTCGTACGGATATCCATCGCCGGTCAACTTCCTGGAACGTGAGACTATGCTCGAGAAGCGATAGCCTTCCTCGCCTTTGCCTGGTCTCGCTTTTTCTTTACGGTGTATCATTTATCTCATTTACTGCACTCGAGTCGCAATCATCTCATTCGATCTTGTCTTAAAAAAGCTTCAGGTCCAGAAGAGAACGACGATATAAATAGCTTTGCTCGCGTATCGTGGATTTTATTACAAACTGTGGGAAGCTATCAGTGGTTTTTCTTTTTAAATTAATATTAATATAATTCTCAAAAATTATTAAACACCGGTTGAGAGAGAAATTAAAGGAAACAATTAACTCTATCTTCTTCTGCATATTTTAGAAATATATAAAGAAGTTAACGCTCGCGAGAGGATGGGAACGCAAAGAATGCGACTGTTAATTGCCATAATTTTAGCTCAGAAAAATCTTTACGAAAAAAGAATCAGGTATTCTCCCCTCTTTTCCCCACGGTCCGGCAAATTTCGATCTTGATTGCGGTTCTGTGATAAACGGTCGGTTTAGTATAAAAGTATAAATGAAGGAAAAATGAGGACGGTTCGCGGAAGAATGCTGGTAAAACTCTGAAGCTCGTTTCGACGAGGAATCCTTGACTTACTTGGTGAACTTGGCCAGTGTTTCTTTCATTTCCGACCCTGTTGGCCGTGCGGCATAAATCGCGCCGATCGTAATCGACGGTGGGTGATCGGCCTCAGTTCATCCGACTTTGTATTTTCCAGACCATCTCCCGTTCTCCGGTGTCGAGTTGACTTGACCCCAGAGAGGCGTAAAACCGTCCGACTTTAAAAATAATGTCATCGCGTGCTGTATAATCCACCACGCGTAGCTCTCGGGCTACAAAACGCTCGTTTATAAAGCGGTCGTTGACCGAAACGCGATCGCATTCCCTCGAGTTCTCCGGGGTCACTCTTTACGCCGGGTTTACTCCGTGCGATTTCTTTGGAATTTTGCGATACTCCGTTTTCTTTTTTTTATCATCATCTCGCTTCTTCGTTCCGTACTCGTATTTCCGTACTTCGGTATTTACTCGTAGGAAAGTTTACTTGCGTTCGTTCGAAAATATAACGGTTTTGATAAGCAATGAGATGAGGAATGATAAGTCTGAATAGCAAAGCCAGGTGAAATAACAACGATCAAAGGGATATATGATACGATCAAAATTGCAGTAATTTTATGAACAAAAAATATTTTTTTTAATAATTAACTAAAAGCTAATAAAATTATTCAGAATATGATAATTGTCTATAAATTATTGAAATGGCAAAAAGAAAATACAAATATAAAAACATAATAAACATATTGTTTAAACTGAGGAAAAAGTTCCATATAGTAATAATAGAAAATAATCACATCGTTAAAATTATTATTCGAATACTACGCTTATATCTTTCTTTCATCGTCTCTTTGATGATGTTCGCTTTTCTCTTTTATGTCGTAGGAGACGCTCGTAAATAAAGCTTTGTCGACGAATCGCGGTGAGTATCCGATTAAAACGGAACCGCTAATTGATTTGCTGTCTTTATTCCGCCTAAATACAGAGTATGCAACAAGTTCGCGAATTACTATCCATGGACAAATATATAACACGAAGTAGCACAGAGTGAATCGATTAAAGCTCGACGCGAATAGGCCGTGGTAAATTGTCCGTAGCAATGCCGGCCTCTATCCTGTCATCGCCCCTTATCCTTATCTTTTTCTTCCTCGCCGCTCTTTTCTTTTATTTTTCTTCGCATTTTCTTTTCGTCTCGACATCGTCACGTTCCACTACCGATATTAGCACCGGCTGATCCGTTTGCGTCACGACCGTGAACGCTCGCCCTCCTTTCGCCGTTTGTAGATTCGTCCAATATATCTTAAGATGCAAGGTGCATCGGCGATCCTCGCAATATTATTCGGACATGCTTGTCTCAGTGAGCGTGAAGGAAATCGATTTTTCAAGCGGGAAAAATAATTGGTTGAGATAATCGCGATGTTATAACGCGAGGAACGAATTAAGACCAATTGAGATAAATTGCGTGAATTCGCGTTATAATTAAATCTTTAATTTGGCGATATCTCTTTTTTTTTTTTTTTTTGCGCGCGAGGAAAATAAAGAATTATACACATACACCGTCCGACAATGATTAATTCGTTCCGTTTCTCTAGTGAGGTAAACATAGGAGTGGGGATATCTTTTCTATATAAAGAGTATTTAACATATAAAGTATTTCGACAGTGGGAGGGGATTGACGAACAATACGGCGAACAATAACACATTATTGTTTTGATACGTTGTCATGTTGTTACCATTCGTACGGCGAAGCTCGAGCAGGACGGCAGCGGCACGAGTCGCTCCGTATGTCGTCGCATTATGTTTTGAAAAACGTAATTATTTCAAGCAATTATTACAATTTGCGATTAACATTTGTTTTCATATTTTCATTGTCGGGCAATATACATGTATATAAAAAATCATTTTTGTATTTATATAAATAATTTTTAAATAAAATTGTATGTGTGCGTACAAGGATATAAATTCAACAAATCAATTGAGTAAATTAAAAAAAAAAAAAAACTATATATTTCTAATACTCTAATTCCACATTATTCGCATGTTGCAGTATTTATATTGAATGAAAAAGATTCTTAATGAGGTTATCGCGAAAGTGTCGAGAAATCTGGTTAGGATTACGGTTGTAAATATATCTCGAAGTATACAATTGTATGTAATCTGCGATGTTCGTAATTGAAGCATCATCCATTTAAGAATTAGATGGTCATTATCTGACAAGTCTAATTTCTGCGGTTGTAAGTCTCGGATATCGTAATATTCGTCGTGACGAATTCTCGCGGATGCCACGCGTTTCCGAGAGAGATTCTTACAATACAATTATTAACCTTAGTGGAAAAGAACCCAACGGTTCGTTTACCGTTGCGCTCTTTTCATGGTTGTTTTTGTTAGATTAAGCGTCTGTGTGTGTAGAAACGCCATCGAGCATCACCTATCCAGTACTATTATTAGTCGCGCACGAAACGGCAACTATCATTGCTTCAATTGTCACATAGATGAAGATTTTTTATATTTCTTTATATTTTATGAAATGAATGGGAAAGGAGTAATACGCGAAACTTTCGTAAGAATGTGACACATTTCCGTCATCTATTTTGCTTGCTTTAATTAAACACATCTTTTTCTCTAACGAGAAATCTTTAGATATAAAATTATTTATTCCTTTGATGAAATGTGTGTGAAAGTAATAAATATCAGATATGTTGAATGTAACTGCGGCAAAAATATCATCGTAATGTCGAATGATATTCTTATCAGAGAGAGAGAGAGAGAGAATTTTTAATTGTGAGATATTAAAAAATATTAAAATATATATTAAAAGGACAGAAAAATATTTAAAAAATAAAAAATAATAATAATGGGGCAAATCTAATATTATCCCTATTATTCTTCAACTCAATCATCAGTCATGGGATTATTCTAATTTTGCAATTATTCATTTCGTCATCGCGCTCGGAAAACTGTGCTAGAGCAACACTCCGTTACGCGCGTAACTCGGAAGCGCGCGTAGCGAGGGCAAAATTCCTATTCGGGACCGTTAGTAAAGTTCTCTATTTCTATCTCGCTCGTGCTATCGTACGCTAATGCGGCGCGAGCCGTCGACGTTGAAAGGCCGGTCGTAAGTATCGGGATACGCTCACAATACCCCGATGCGGAACAGTAAAAAGATCCAGCATCTTTGAAATGCTACTCGTAAGATAGAAATTTACGATTTTGTTACGAGTTTTAAGGATCCGTTTTAAAGCGAATCCACGATCTTAATAGGCTCAGTTATTTTTTCAAACTAATTACGCAGATATATAGTCTGATATCGCCCTCGTAAAAACTTCGAAAGTTCCATAATAACGCACATTTTATATTTCGCAGCATAATATTTTATACATAGAAACTTTTATCGCGTGTGCAAGATGTTTCATCCTTGGCATTTTATACCGCTAGCCAGGGGTAACATCAACCAGGTGTTTGTCTTCGATAGATGTTTCAGATTAAGCAAGACACTTGGCTCTTTTTAACACGTGTTACTTCAATCATTTTTCATTAAGAAGGAAGCACGATAACAATAATAACAATAATCGCGAATAATGAATTCATAAAAGAAAATATAACAGACGGAACCAAAATCGGGGTTATAAGGCATTAAATCAGAAATTTATGCCAAAGTATATCGAAGTAAACCGAAGAATTTAGCCGGATAGCACGTCTTCAAGATACGATTGTTACCTTTAGTTTAGACATGCGTGACTAATACATGCGTGTACATTGTAATAATGGTCTCTCTGACCAAGCGTGCTTCCTTTTTTACGATACTGTATAAATGATCGAAGAGACTTGTCTTTGAAGAAATATGTCATAGAATTAGTAGCTTCGCATTAAAAAAATGCATTATTGCGACTTTGCGCGCCTCGCTTTTTCCCCACGTCGTCTATAAAAAAAAAAAAAAAAAAAAAAAAACACCCCCGCGTTTTTCAAAACAACTCGGTCCCTTTCAAAAAAAAAAAAAACCCGGCCGTCTTATTACAATATTCCGGCCCCAGTGACGATATATTCAATTCCCATACGCTAGAAATCGGTATTCGTCGACGGTACGTTGCACGCGAACAATTCCCAGCGATTTTCCATTCGATATTGAATGAATGGTGCGACTCGTATCACCTCGGCAAACCCGTCATTACAGGTCGAATCCTCCTTCCTCCGCGCACATTGTATGTTTATTCGTACCAGTTTACCGCAAAACTTTACCGCGTGCCAATTAAGTCGAAGTCTCAAATCGGCGGGTTTTCACCGACGTCAGTTAATTTTATAATCGCGATTCATAAATACTTCTCCGTTTTTTTCTTCAGATCGTAACTGCCTATATACAGGTAGAGGAAGCGAGTTCAATTAATCATGGGTAATTAAACCGTTAATAAATTATAAACCGGTTAATCGAATTTTCTCTTCCCATCTCTATCGTATTATATCATAAGAGAAGTGTTGCGATTTGTGAGCAGAAAAAAATTAATGAAATAATAGTTAATTAAATTGACTTTTGATTAGATTTATATTCAATTTAATGTTGAAAATACTTTGCGTTCGAAAATAAAATATATTCTGATGCGATAAAAAAAAATCTAACGTGATAACGCTGTAATGCATTTGTACAATTCGAGATAGCGTTTCTTTGCGCGATGTATATACTTTTTTTTTACGCGATATAATCTTCGTTCTCTGTGTCCGCGCCAAATTTTTACGTCGTTTTGCGGCAAGGCGGTGTAACAGATAGACAAATAACTCCCATTAGGCGAGATATTATCTACCCAATTTGCGGATTTTGCCATCATTTGTGCGGTTATTACAGATACGTTAGAACACTTAATCGTTATTAATGTGCTCCCCCGCTCCGTTATGCGCGCGGCGTATTTACCGTATTCCACGGAACGAAATCATCCGCTTGTAATCAAGAAACGCGTTATATTCGCTTATTTGATCGCAAATGACTCAACGGTGTATGACTTTCATACATCATCGGTATATACCGCCGTTATCTCGAAGAAACGAGAGGAAGAAAGAAAGATAATAAGAGAAAGAGAGAGGAGAATCGTGTAAATTAGAGCCAACTGCAGAAGTCTCTGCATCTCTACCGAGGAGAAAAAAAAATTTCTCCCTTCGGCTATAAAAGATTCGCCCAAGATGACCCGATTGCCTGATTGCCTCTTGCTTATCGCGAACGAAGAAGCGAAGCAACGTACGTACGAGCAACGATGTACACTCGATTAACTTGGATAATTACGACGTATCCCGTGCGCCCAAGTATCTCGTATCGTACTCGAATACACCGATTTACTTTCTCGTTTTTGCCATTTTGCACGTGCACCCATCTACTCCGTTCACGGCGTCACTTGCAGCACGTAGAGCTGCATATTTTCTACATACGGAAGAGAGATACATACGAAGAGATGCATACGCTACTTTCTCGGTCGACCTATATGCGATTTTTTTTCTTCAAACCCCATACGATCCTCCACGATGGCTGTATAACTCGAATCTGGGTGCCTTTCTATCGCGCATAATCGGGTACACGCTTTTCTGCGCTCCTTTAAAGTAGGGGAAGCGAGTAGGAACAGAGCGAGCGTGCACAGGGAAGAGAGATATGGGATTTTTCTACTAAAATAGAAAAAAGAAAAAAGGCAAAATTTGTTTAGCTTACGTTACGTCCAATATCTTTGACAATATCTAGAATGTTAGAAATTTCTTGTATTCTGTTTCTTATCTCTTCTCGATCTAATTGAAATTTAATTTGTAAGATGTAACATATTTGAGAAGGAGAGAAAAAAAAAATGGAATTTTCTATTAGATTGCATTTTCTCAGTATATAACTTAAAAAAGCAACTTTGATTACGATGGCTATGAGACGATGAAACTTATTACAATTTATTCTACATTCCGTGAAACGTGAATAAACAATAATGAAAACATTTCTACGTTGGGTTTCACGTCGCTATTTTCTCGCAAGACTTGTTCATTTATCTTCCGAATGATTTCTGATTTTCTTAGTGAAATTCACCAAGTTGCGAATGACATGCTACTTCAATCTTTACGTTAAACCGTATAGAACGTTGACGTTTCGAAAATCATTGCATCGCATTGCGTTTCGGTTTATATGTCGCGGAACGAACGCGTGTAAAAAGGACAAAATTCTTTCGAAACTTTGTAAAATTAGTACGCCGGTGCGAGATCGACTAATGTATAATTCAATTGAGATTCGATATCCTGTTCGCGGTTCCCCGTAAAATAATTACAAGCGGGAATCTGTGCCGGGATAGTTGAAAACGGTGGTTTTCGAGGCAAAACCGAATAATACGAGGCACACGACTGCAACGGATAAGACGGAACAGTCGAAGAGCCGGTCAGTCAGGATTAATGCACTTACCTCGCTCGTGTAATTTGTTGTCAGCTTGATTTGCGGTCTAATCTTGCCGGGCGACTCTCGCGTTTCCTTGGCCGATGTTAAAGGCACGGTCGTCGTGACATCGGCGACAGCGGAGACTGCTGATTTTCTCAACGATAACACCGTGGCCGCGGTGTGTTGAGTGGGCGAAATTATTCTCGGCGACGTTTCGGTGAAGGCGGGATTTGAGCCTGGGTTCTGCGGGTCACCGGAGATGGTCGCGAGGCTCGCCGTGGACGACATCGACGAGATTGTCGTTGTCGTCGTCGTCGATGTCGTTGCGATTGCCGTTGGCAAGATCGTTGGCAGCTTAAGCATCGTCGTGGCGGATGTTACGGCCGTTGCCGTCGCCGTTGCCGTTGCCGTCGCCGTTGCCGTTGTCGCGATCGAGGAAGGCAACGATGAATGTAACGTCGCGTTCCTTACAGTGTACGGTAGCGTCGCGTTGCCTGTAATCGGTCTCGAGACCGCCGTCGTGGCGGTGATTGCCGAAGCGTTCTTGATGGGTGTGATCGGCGTGGTCTTTTTTCCTTTAACCGGATCGTCGGGTCGACCACCCTTCGATGATGACGCCGGCACAGCCGACGCTGTCATCAGCAGTGCGAAGAAAACGCAACATTGGATGGTCCGCATTCTTGACTCTCGATATTACGGCAATAAATTGCTTCCGCTAACGTATTTTCCTTTTCCCTCGGAAAGTAATTCCTCTTATCGTAAGAGCTAATGAGGTTTCCTAATATCGCTTAGAACCTGCGAATAATAAAGGAATCATACGTTAATAACTTATCGAGGTGGTATTTATGTGTTTAGAAATTGTTTTTCCTACGCTATATTTGAAAATGAAAAATATTTTAAAGGGAAACAAAGAGAGTGTGTGACGCGACATTTTCACTTTTGCGCTTTCTTATTTGTGTGTGGAATCTCTTTGTATTAAATTACATTTTTATTTTTATTTCGCATTTAAAAAATCGTCACTCTCGCTTTCCTGTTTCGATGTCGTCGAACGAGGGAAAGGATTATAGATCGCATATCTCTGCGGTTTGCAGAGATTATGTGATGCGATAATAAAACGTAACACATCTACCATTACGTACTCATTATCCAAAGCGATATTTATTGTCTTAACAGGTGGAACTTTCTCTCTCTCTCTCTCTCTCTTTCGTAATTAATTAATTAGTTTGCATATATGCAAAATTTATATGTGTGTGGAATCTCTTTGTATTAAATTACATTTTTATTTTTATTTCGCATTTAAAAAATCGTCACTCGCTTTCCCGTTTCGATGTCGTTGAACGAGGGAAAGGATTATAGATCGCATATCTCTGCGGTTTGCAGAGATTATGTGTGATGCGATAATAAAACGTAACACATCTACCATTACGTACTCATTATCCAAAGCGATATTTATTGTCTTAACAGGTGGAACTTTCTCTCTCTCTCTCTCTCTCTTTCGTAATTAATTAATTAGTTTGCATATATGCAAAATTTATATTTTACGAAATACGGAAATTGATCCAAATGTTTGCTACATATCAAGTTTATCTCGAGAGAAAGATGATAGTTTTATCGTAATCAAAATGTTGCAATCTAACGTAATCGCAATATGATGGATCGTGTTTAGCTTCCACGGAATGTATACAAAATATTCTGCAATTATAGCATCCTTTCTTTCACCTGTTCTTTGATAAATTCAACGTCGACTGCTGTTTTAATACGAATTTATCGCGTGACTTTTATTTTCGATTTCCAGTTAAATAAGCCGATTATTTCTCTCGCTCTCGAAAGATTTGTGTCGATACGTAGGAATTAGATGCGGGCGAGGAAATATAGCGGGGGAGAAAGAGAGAAATGCGCATTCGTTTTGCTCGTCTTTCTGAATGTCCGCGCATTGGTCCATGGCGAGCTGACCACTTCTTATCCGCTTCCCGACCTACCTATTTTCCTTTCACGTGCTCGATCCTGTCTTTTCTCTGCAGCAGTTATCGCACGTTTGCCATACGACACTCCGGTGAAATTGGGTCATTCGGTATAAACCGCGTCAATACAAGCCGTTATCTCGTTGCATTTGCAAGGCCGTATCAAACCGCACGCGAGCTCCGAGCATCATATGTTAGACATTACGCATCATTAGAATATATGTATATATATGCATATGTATCTCGTGCTGAATATATGATAGATAAATATCTAACGGAAGTGAGAACGCGACAAGGAATGAGATATGCATCCTTTCGACCAAGATAACTATTCGCGTAACGATGTGATAAACGATACTGATTAAATATAATCGATGAGCTTGAAAAGCGTATCACGCATAAATTACGTCAAATGCATTCCTCTACCGGATGTAATATAAACCCGAATGAATTTTTATTGCAGAGATATGTCTAGATTTATTTCCAATGAATAACATTATTTATCGCACACCAGAAATTATCTTCTATTTTTCCGACCCACGCCTTCTGCTATAACGTTCCCTTCCGTCACAGGGTGAACCGCACAATGTTTCTAACGAACAATGAGTTTCCACGCTTAAACCGCAAACGAAGCTCTTAAATGTACGCGACATCGGGTGTGTTTATGCGAACAATATAGTAATTAGATTATTTTCTTAATGGAGGGCGGTGGAAGAAACGGTCTAAGAAGTCTAAGAGGAGGCGAACGGGTGACGTGAACGTGTCCTCGGAGAATGAACACAAAAGAGACGGTGAATCCACGATCGTACGTTTCCACGTGTGACAATAGTACAAGTCGCGAGAGAGAAAATAAAACGTTAAAATTCTACAATGTTAATATATACATATTTGAAAGTTTTTACGTATTTAAAAGAGAAAAACTCATTTCTATCTAATTGGCGATTTGATATATTTGATACCGCATTGGACGAGCGGTGAATAATTTCACCGCTTAACCGAATAATGAGCATTAATTATCTCGTGAGAGTAAAGGAAACGTTTACGGACCGATATACGTGCGTTTGTTTCAACAATTTGTCGGATTAATGAGACTGAAAGGAATGC